GAGCTACAGAATAAAATTCAAACGTTTTTCTCTCGCAATCCGTGTCAGTTGCGTCCTCATTTGACATAATACAGATTTCAATTTAAATTCCCCTGTAAATACTCGAATCTCTACATCTCTACAAAAAGTAATCCAGCAAATATGTAACTTTGTAGTTACACAACATGAAAGCAGCAAGTTATATAACAACCACTATTGTGCAATATAAACTTAACTGAAACATACTGAATGTGATACAACCATCCTACTGAACAGCTATATAACATTTAACGTGAATGTAATAGCGCAATAACAATAACTTGTACTAGGGATACCTACAATTTTACAAAAAAAAAGATGAAACAAAACGTAACACAAAATTAGTAGGTGCATAACTAAATCCAAATATATAGTTTAAATAAAAATTATTCTTAATTTAACTCGCATTTTACCTATATAAACCCATTTAGCGTCACGCTTGAAACTTTTATAGCTAATTCCAACATAATTGATGGTTAAAAGGGAATTTACAGCTTTAAATTTGCGTTCAATCTTATTACTGTCACCGTACGTACTTCGTTGAAAATTTTCGAACATAAATGAGTGGTTTTGTAAGTTGAATGGCAGTACAAGAATATTAAATAGCTAAAAGTAAATCAAGGTATTATATAATATTAATATTTTAAAAGCATGGCAAAGTTCTGCGCATAAATCTAAAGTAATTTAATCGAAAATAGATGATGCTATAATGATGGTTTGCCTTGTGTATGAGCGTTTTCTCTTAATTACTCATATGTTCCCATTTTCAGTGCATAATTCTGTTGTATAACAGAAAATCAACAAGTAATTTTGTAGGTTGTGAGAACAAAGCGGCGATAGTATGATACTGAATCCTGTACTGAATATAGTATCCAGCAATTTTGTTTACCCATTCATGTATTGTGTAATGTGTATAATATTGCTATGTGCCCAGTATACCCACACGGAAATAATATATAAGACTGTCACGCTAGTATTCGTCACTGGAAATGAATTCAAAAGGCCACAAAAACTATAGATTTACAAACAACATTTAATTCCATTTATTTTTTCAATTTTATAATTACACACTCGGCTTATCCAAATTACACGAGACACATATACGAGACAAAATTTAAAAAAAACACACAATTCTTTCGTCTTTCTCTCATACTACGTAAATTATACCTCACGGAAACAAATTGAATTGAATGCGCATCAAAGTACCGTAATTAATTAAATTAATTAAAAAGGGTTAGTAACTTTAGCGCATTTTCCGTGAATTAACCAGTACAGTCCCGAATGGTCATGTAACGGACTACTTATGCGTACAAGGGAAAATCATAAATATTCTCTTCGAAACTTCCCAGCGGCGTCAAGCGCATTTGTAATGACATAAAGGACACCCTGTGTGTATGTGTATATTAGTTAAAGCAAAGAGCATTATGCAGTATGATCTTTGGTTAAAGCGAGGGTTAAAGTGTCTAGGTTAATGTAATAATTGCAAACGACTCTGCTTATTTATAGATATTGCAATGTTATGTTTGATGACACAAAAAGTAATAAGGACAGGGCGACACTTGTACTTGGCGTTCCAAAGGTTGAATGAGGGAAATTGGTTTCGGTACTGAGACATCAGGGCCCGTTCGCGTATTATATTATTATTATATTATATTATATTGGCATTCTGTATTATTATTCAGAGAAGCAGCTGTGTGGTCTCATTCGCAGAATACTATGGCTTCACGTTACTCGTAACTCCTAATCAATAAAATCCATTATTATTATTATTATTATTATTATAATATAATCAGCCCTGTGATATATTACTAACGTTAAATTTAACGCGCAGGTTAACTGTCAAAAATGTCATTTTGCCTATAGGCAAAATAACGTTTTTCGGCAGATAACCTGCACGTTAAGTTTGACGTTTCTGATACATCACAGGGCTAAATATCGTTGTTTAAACAAAGACATACCGCGATTCAAAGCACCGCTATGGTTTAGATTGTTTAGAGCAATCGTGCCCAACTGGTATTGCTCTAAGGGCGATTTGGAAAATTCCGATACACCACGCACACTTACGTACGTTTTTGTATTTAACAGGGCCCATGAGCTTGAAAACTTGGTCGCTTTTGTTGTCCGTGCTTTTAAGGATGATATCACTGCCAAGTCTAATAATTTCCAATTCAGCTTCCGTTTTATTAATGAATCAATGCGTTTCCATCAACAAAGCCAGGTGTGAAATATCGCTACCGATAAATGGATGCTTGCCAAATATATGAGAGATTCCCTACAGAACATATTGTCAAAACGCCTTCCGAATTCCGATTTTCCGATTAAGCAACACATTGCGCTCTGAATCGCACTATATAATTTACTGTGAAATTATATGCGTAATGTGAAGCCATAGCATACTGCAAATCAAATCACAGCTGCTCTGAATATAATAGTAGTAAGTACTGATTTACACACATACAATGGTAGTACAGAATGCCAATACGCGGCCCGGTCGCTGCGAGGGCGCGATCATGCGGTTTTTCTTTTGCGTTTTGATTCTGAGTTTTGTGTTTAATTTATTTCAACAAATGAGGTTACCGCTATTTTATTAATGATTCTCGAGATCGTTTATAATTTTGTATTGCTGTCTGTCTGTCCGTGTGCACGATAACTTTGTGTAGAGACGTCCGATCGCTTTGAAAATTGATATACATGTTCTTCAGAATATAAGAAAGGTCGCTATTGTTTTTCGGCTACGGGACAGCCCAAAAACTGCCCAAACCTCCAAAAAAGAGTTTCTTTATAATTCTTGATACAAAGAAATGAGGAATGTCCAGTTTTCTGTGTTAGTAAATATTAGAGAACTATGCAGATTAAAAAAATTGCGCATGCGCAACCCAACTTTTGTATTTGCGCAATCTCAATTTTTTTATCTGTTAAGATATTTAAATGAAATTTTGTAATACGGACTTCGAGTAAAAGTAAAACTAATGCCGATTTAAAAATTTGTTTTACAAGCTATGCTGATCTGGTGGAACAGAATCAATCCCTTAAGGTTTTTTGAAAACGTTACCGAATATTTCAATGAATGAATAATAAAAATCCATTGTAAATCATAAGGTCAGATTTTTCAGGTTCTGAACTCTCAATTTCCTTGTCCAACACGAGCAATAGAATTAATTTGTTGGTTTTGCAAATTGCACCTTCTGTGTGGCATAAAGACAGTGGAACTAGAGAAAATGGATAGATACGTATCCATATTCAAAGTATTCTCCAGGGATAGTCGCAACAATTTTCGGAATAGAGGCCTCTGCATCTTCACTTCCACAAACTTTACATTTTTCCACAAATTTTCCCGGAAAATATTAATACTGTATTTTCCTTTATTGGTTTTTTGAATTTTTATTTATCTTATGAACATTATCTGATAAAACTTTGTTACTGTTCTTTACCTACATAAGTTCCTCACATTCAGTAGAAATTTTCAATACTTTCATTCACAGCTGGAAAAGTTATATAAAAATTGCTTGTCAATACTTTCAGCGAATGAATTTAAGTTCTGCTTTATATGACTAATAAATGATTCTACTTGATCATCTGTAATGTCGTGCGTCTTTAGTAAATCTGTTCTGTCCATTATAGAAGTAATGACATCGAGCGAATGCTGTGACTTTTACACCAGCGCTCTCTAGCAGCAGTCGAATTCGTCTTTCCACCATGCTCGTGTTGTTGATTTTGGGTGATATGGGCTATAAACTACTATCACCCATTTGAATTTTAAGCTACACACTAAAAGTTTAATTTTTCATCTTTCCGACAAGATTCACACACATGCGGTTATCAAATGTGCACGTGGTGTATTCTTTCAGTACCAAGATAATGCGTTTGGAATATTCTGGGTACATTTTGCTCTAAAACTTTTGACCTAGACCACAGAGAAGAGTTATATTGAATTGTTACACATCTAAGAGTCATAGGGAATTATCTAGCGAAAGTCCGAACTCGATACATGACCTAGGGAATGAAATATGTTGGTTTCTATTAGATTGAGCCCTCACTTTTGTTCCTTAAAAAATATCACCGTGCATACCATGGTGCGTTCAAACGTAACAGGATTATTAGTAAGGGAGGTATGGTAATTTCAGGGGTAATTTGCATTTGGGTAAAAAATTACCCTCTACTTTCTTTATGAAAATACACGTTTGGAAGTCCCAAGAATCCGAATGAAACAAAATCTCGATGATGTCGATCGGTCTGTCCGTGTGTCGATCTGTCGGTCTGTACTTGCATTTCCGGCTAAACGGCTGAACCGATTTAAACCAACATTTGTCCACACATTCTTAGATATAAGAGCAGGCATAAGAGGAAGAGCTGAAAAGCTTTTGGGGAGAATTGCGAATGCGAAAGTGTGTCAAGCTCTCATTTCGGGCTAAACGACTGAACCGATTGGAACCAAATTTGTTACACATATTCTTAAACATAAAAGAACAGAAACGCGCATGCGCAGGTGTGTGGGTGGTATCTGTGCTAGCCACAGCAATTTTTTTCAAGTATACATATAGCCCATATGTAAATAATGCTTTTAAAATTGCTGGACAGTCCAAATTGGCTGTTCTATATGAACGATGCGACATACTTACGCTGTCGATTGCCGAAAACAAAATTCGCAAACTTCTGTCCCCTATACAAAATAATCAGACAAAGAAGAACGTTTTCCCTTTTTAATAATTAAAAAGGTTAATTGCGGCAACGAACGAATAGGTTAAGGTCGACTCTATTGAAAGCTAAAATCACAGGTGTCATATTTACATCTGTTCTAAAATGTTCCATTAGCTATGGTTGAAATTGGAAGAGAAATCGCCATTAATCCTCATTTAGTCGTTCCAATTTACCTCTCTGCGTAGAAATTAGGAATTAAAAGCTTAGGCGCTATAATTGTGTGTACCTTAATTACCCGATCAATTTAATTTTAAGCCAACAGTCGACGCTAATCTGTTGAAACTATGCCGAGGATCGAACACGATGGCAATATTTGTAATTTATTCTGTCAGATAACTACGAGTGTATGTATATAGTAATTAGTAGGTAATATCATAGTACTTAAGTAGATCCAGAGCGCATTTTAGTAAACTACACAAGACCTATAGGTAGTGCCTATCGTTTCTAACTGCTTTCATTACTTTTCAGTTGGAATATGGCGAAGAAGTATGGAAGGAAGTTCTACGTCTATCAGATTGCCCATACACCGTCTTTAACACGCATCAAATATATCCCGACTGCGTAATACCATCCCTTGCTTTGGCCTGTGCAGAGATTACATCCGATTCTTACGACAGCTTTATGAACTTCTTTGGTAGATGTTTTATAAGATATATGGGCAGATTTGGGTACATAAATCTTCGATATGTCGAATATATTGAGTAAACCTATGAACTTGCAGATACGATGTTTCCATACAAGCTACGGGGCGCTTTTTTACAGATTTTCTGCAAAACGTCGATAACCTTCATTCACAATTCAGATTTACTTATCCCAAAATGGAGAGCCCGTCGATGTATTTAACGGAAGTTAATGAAAATGGGTGCAATTTGGTCTACAGCAGCGTTCGACAAGGTTTCAAACATTATTTAATGGGTAAGAATTCCACAAAAGAAAGAAAATTTATGAGATTATTGGTTAAATTAAATTGAAACCGTTTCTATGCCTTTCTGTGCCTTTTTTAATTTAGCAAAGTGAATATTGATATTCCGTATTATATATAACGCACTTAACTTTTGATTATGAAAGTGGTACCTCCTGACATGTGATTTTTACACTTACACGGCGTCGAGTTAAATAAAGTTATTTTATCAGGTTATTGGAAATGATGAAGTGTTTTGTTATAGTTAAACTTTGCAGTGGATAGATGAGAGGAGCGAAAAAATAAAAATCGTCAGAAACAATGTTTGCCATATTATTTCGCGCCTTAAAGCATAAAATTGATATTTATATACAATACTTGATTTTCAATTGACAGGGATATGTTTTTCCTTTACGTCAATAATACTGTATTTTGTTCGGTGGGGCGATAAGGTCAAATGTTACAATACAAATGCTTTTATTTGATGGGTTAGTGCTAGATCCTCATAAATGTCAAGTTTCATTCTCCAATTAACGTCTTAAATGAAGTTCTTTGTAATAGCTTGTTCTTTACGCTTCTTTTTATTTGAGGGAGTAAATAGTTAGAAAAGGTGGTTCCGTAGGCTATAAATTAAAATTGGCACCATTTTATAAAACATTTCAGTTTTGGTTTGTAATTTTGGTATGGGGTTGCCATTTAAAATTTTTGAAGAGGGGTGGGGCTGGGGTGTTAAGGGGGTGGGAGGTTGTCACTCAAAACGTCATTCTGGTTCCCCCTCGATACCCCCGAAACGATTTTGCGCGATTTTCGATATCTTCTTTAGTTTGGCCGACTGCATGTTTTAAAATTGACACCCTGTATGTCAGTGCAAAATGTGACATTTTAGAGATGGGAGTAGAAACATTTTATTTTAGTATCATCACAAAGCTGAGAAAAAATCACTAACGGTTTATTAAACTTTTTTGTTGATATCCTTGGAGGTAAGAGAACACCAGCGCATTCTCAAAAATGGCATTTTTCGGTTTTTTGGTCATAACTTCGCTATTTGTAGAGCTACAAGAAACTTCGAATGAGAAAATTAATCAGTATATAAAATTCTGCATAACTTTGCCCATTTAAGCGGCTTTGTATCTTTTAGGGTTTACGATTTTCTTACAGCAAAAATGAAAACAAATCTTACCCTATATTTGCAGGTGGGATATCTAAATATTGTGAATATTTGCACTTTGCATTGAATTAATTCATACATACCTACCAACATTTTACCACGATATGTTTGTAGTGGTTTGATACAATGTAATGCTTCTTGCACTATTTCCTAAATGGTTCTGTTAAATCAAAGCCAATAAATAGATCAAAATGTTACAATGATTAGGTACACCAATTTTCCGATTTTCAGATTTGGACACAATGACACAAAAGTAAAAACTTGCATTTAATTATTTTTAGCTTCCCAGGCTAGGTAGCTATGGAGAAAGCCGTTTTTTGAACATTTCAAAATTTCATCAAATGTCGACGTTTTAGACCATTTTAAGCAACTTTTAAAGAATAAAATTTTTAGCTTCCTAGCATGTGCTAGGAACGTTTTTTGAACATTTCAAAATTTCATCAAATGTCGACGTTTTAGACCATTTTAAGCAACTTTTAAAGAATAAAATTTTTTTCCGTCTGTATGTACGAACGTACGTACTGTTGGCACTTTTCTGAGAAAACGGCTCGACGGATTTTGTTGAAATTTTGTATATATGTTTTAGACATACCGAACAGAAAAATAACGGGCCGGATTTTTGAAAAAAAAATTTGGAGCGCCGTAACGGCATCGAACTTTTTTTTCAAATAGAAACCTAAAATTTTTATTCTATTATTTGGAAGACCTTATTTTCCTGTGTACAACCTACAAAAAATTGGGCCGGGTTATATTATCAAAAAACGGAGAAAAAAATTGTCAAGTCAAAAAATTGTGTTGCATATGTGCAAAACGCAACGATCTTGTTTCTGAAGCAATTTAAACGAAATTTCTATGGTAAGTCCCTTTAATAAAAGCAAACAAAATTCATGCGCAAAAGTCGTGTTGCGCATGCGCAGAAATGCAATTTTCTTATTTATGGAACAATTAAAACGAAATTTGGATGGTAGGTCCTCCTAATAAAAGAAAACAAAATGCATGCGCAAAAATCGAGTTGCGCATGTGCAACATCCAACTTTCTTATTTATGGAGCAATTTTAACGAAAATTGGATGGTAGGTCCCTCTAATAAAAGCAAACAAAATGCATGCGCAAAAATCGTGTTGCGCATGCGCAGAAATCGTGTTGCGCATGCGCAGAAATGCAACTTTCTTATTTATGGAACAATTTTAACGAAATTTAGATGGTAGGTCCTTTTAATAAAAGCTAACAAAATGCATGCGCAAAAAATAGTGTTGCGCATGTGCAACATCCAACTTTCTTATTTATGGAGCAATTTTAACGAAATTTGGATGGTAGGTCTCTCTAATAAAAGCAAACAAAATGCATGCGTAAAAAAACATATGTTGGCAATTTTTGGTTTCAGCTAGGAAGCTATTCTGTCAAGAATTTGACACCTGGTTTTCCGTCTGTATGTACGTACGTACGTACGTTTGTTGGCAATTTTCTGAGAAAACGGCTCGACGGATTTTGTTGAAATTTTGTATATATGTTTTAGGCATACCGAACAGAAAAATAACGGGCCGGATTTTTGAAAAGAAATTTTGGAGCGCCGTAACGGCATCGAACATTTTTTTTCAAATAGCAACCTAAAATTTTTATTCTATTATTTGGAAGACCTTATTTTCCTGTGTACAACCTACAAAAAATTGGGCCGGGTTATATTATCAAAATACGGAGAAAAAAATTGTCAAAGTCACAAAATTGTGTTGCATATGTGCAAAACGCAACGATCTTGTTTCTAAAGCAATTTAAACGAAATTTCTATGGTAAGTCCCTTTAATAAAAGCAAACAAAATTCATGCGCAAAAATCGTGTTGCGCATGCGTGGAAATGCAATTTTCTTATTTATGGAACATTAGCTTCTTAGCATGTGCTAGGTAGCTATTGCGATAGCCGTTTTTTGAACATTTCAAAATTTCATCAAATGTCGACGTTTTAGACCATTTTAAGCAACTTTTAAAGAATAAATTTTTCCCGTCTGTAAGTGCGTACATATGTTGGCAATTTTTGGTTTCATCTAGGAAGCTATTCTGTCAAGAATTTGACACCTGGTTTTTTTCAAATTATCAATTTAGGTATAAGCACAGATAATATGTGGTATATACCGGGTGATGTGGACAGTTTAAATTTCCCGCAAAACTAAACATTTATAAAGTTGGTAACATACCAAATGTTATTTATTTAAAAGCAGTGGATCAATTAATGGATCACTAAACAATAATCACAATGAATTAATTAAAATAATTAATTTACATATCAAGCACAGTTGCACGCTCCGGTTTACGTATTTAAATACGTTGCCTGAGGGATAGTCATGCTAAATAAACGATCACCGTAAAGTTCTTTTCGGTTGTTCACGCATGATCGTTGCTATTCTCATAAATGAATCCATGCTTCGTCTTCAAAACAACATTAAAACATTCCAATATCTTCCTGCAAAATTTTGTATCACTTACTGTGTGCTAAGTCTGTAATAATAACAAACAGAGATGTTATCGTGCGCATTGTTACACGCTTGTATAGATATAATTTCCACATTAATTTCTTGGCGCTACGTTCTCTTACATCTTCGACAACTTCCACTAACATGGTAGGTAGCATATGTGTAATTAAGGTACTTGCGATTGTGGGTGGCCGGTCTTCCTCCGGTTCGTCTGGTTCTGGGTTGATGGTAACGTAAAACTTCTGTAACGTAATTTAAAATTAATTATTGATATAAAATAAAAAACGCACTTACGGTTTCAAACCCTTCATAGTCCAAAAATAGCTCAATAACTGAACTTTAGATTATGATAATGACTGTAAATTCAGTCTATAATTACGGGGAGGGCGCCAAAACAGAACTTTTCTTTCCGCTCTCTTAAAATCGATTGCCTCTATACATTGGGAAATCCTCGCGCCAAAGGCTCGATCAATTTAATCTTTAGAAACATAGGAGTAACATGCGTTATAATAAAAGTTTCCTAAAATTGTTATAACAACCAAGTCGAATATGAGCAGCTTCTAAACTTGTTGCGCTTGATAGCATAGATCGCGGTATAGACAAGAAGATAAAAATTCACGACGCTAATGCATGGAGATTACTGCATAAATAAATCACCTTCTAAACATGTTTGCCAATGCCTTAAGTACAGAACACTAAAAACTTTACACGCCAAATTTAATCTGTCTGGAGTTATTTTGGATCACCCGGTATAACAGTACACTACTGCAAATAATATATAAACACGTTTTCATATACGGAGGCTGACTGCCCAAAAAATTTAGCGGAAAGAAAAAAATCCACGCTTTCAAACCGTTGCGAAAGAAAAACCCTTCTTGTTGTCTTGCTGTCCAATTATAGCACAACTCGGAAATAACAAATAATCAAACTAATCAAAGCTTAAGCTGGTGCCCCATAAATTCTGCTACACTTAGGGTTCAATTCGAATTAATATAATCCGGAACAAAGATCACAAAACCTTCCCCATAAATTTCAATACGTATTTCAATAAAAATAAAAAAAGGTTTTGTGATCTTTGCCCCGGATTATCATTTACCCCATTTCGAGCTTCCCTGAGAGAATAGATACTCAACAAGTTGAATTAATATGCTTTTCACCGCTCTTTTCTAAGAGTATTTAAATTTTGTACAATTGTTGGAAGTCTGTTATAAAATTTGATGCACGAATATAAAATAGCAGTTTTTCTCCGTGTTCGTTCGTCTATGCATGGGTACTTTGTACGACGCCTCCAGCTTCCTTGTATTGTAGTCCGATTTTATTTTTAAATATAAACACTAATAGGTCTAATATGTACACCCCTGAGACAGTAAGAATGTAATTATC